AATATAATATTTTATATTTGCTGTTGTTCAGTTGTTTCAGTTGTGTTTAACTCTTTGTGACCCCATTTGCGGTTTTCTTGGCAAAGATACTGCAGTGGTTTGCCATTTCCTTCTCCAGCTCATGTGGGTAGCTAGGTGGTATGCAGTGGATAGAGCACTGAGCTTGGACTCATGAATCCAAATCCAGCCTCAACCAGTGCTATGTGACCCTGGACAAGTCATTTAACCCTTTTTACCTCAGTTCCTTATCTGTAAAATGGGCTGGAGAAGGAAATGGCTGGCAAACTATTCTAGCATCTCTGTCAAGAAAACCCCAAATGGGGTCACGAAGAGTTGGATAAGACTGAAATATCTCTTTAAAAAAGTCTTAAAAAAACTGTTTTAACATGTAATTGGGGGAAAATACATTAATTTTTTAAAAAAGACTGAAATGACTCGATAACAACAAAAATCTCCAGCTCTTTTTACAGATGAGGAAACTGAGGCAAACAGGGTGAAGTGACTTGCCCAGGGTCACACAGCTAGTATCTGAGGCCTGATTTGAACTCGGGAAGAAAAGTCTCCCTGACTCCAGACCTGGCATTCTATCCACTACACCACCTAGCTGCTCATCATTTTACATGGCAATCAAAGTTAGAAAAAGTTATTTTATATATCCTTTGATCTTTATTATAATGTTCTGAGATCAGCAGAATAGATACTACCTCCGTTTTAGAGATGCAGAAACTAAAGTCTGGTAGCTAACTTTTTTTTTCCAGCCAAAAACAAGGTTTATTAGAACATCTGCCACGTTGGCCAGACTCTTAAGGAATCTGAACATTACAAAGAGACCTCATAATCTTTTCATTCTACAGAGGGGTAAACTGAGTCCTAGAGAGGTGAAGTGACTTGTCAACAGCTAATAAATGGCAGAGGCAGTACGCAAATCTATATTTAATTTTCTTTTGTATCTTCTGACTTTGTATCTAGAGATCATACATAGACCATGCATTTGAGAATCAAATGGTTTCCACAAACCATCAATTCTTCCTAACTATCATGATAATTTCAAATACCAGTTTCTGCAAACAATACAGAGGTTGAGGTATAATAGGTCATTTTCCCATAATACTTTGTTCCCTATTTTCTGATATGTATAGTTTGCTGGGTGGTTATGTACCAGTTGCTCACATTGAATTGGTTTTGCCTTAAGCATAGATTTATTTCAATAATTTAAAATGCATTGAGTTGTTAAATGCCTGAGGGCTAATTTTCTTATTTCTAAGTCCAATCTAGTTGGTATTGTGGGAAAAGCCTTAGCCTGGGAGACAGAAGATCTCAATTTGAAAGGCTGTTGTTCTATCTGGCACCTGTGTTACCTGGGCCAAGTCTTAACCTCTTTGCTACTTAGTTTCCACCTCTGTAAAATGAAGGGGGTTGGACTAGAAGAAATTCCAGTTCTAGACCTATGATCTTATTCATGCCATGTTGAACTAGATGATCTCTAAGTGTCTTCTTGTTCTAAATCCCACCACCCAATGAAAAGCCATAGGGATCTTTAAGCTGGTACTACTACAAGCAAATGATAAGCCCAAAACTTCTTAGTGATCAGGAATTTGAAAAGTTCCCAGGACAGTATGGCGACACCAAGGGAGAAATAAATTTTCTAAAGGGTGGAGGAACCAATTTGAGCACAGACTAGAGTTCTCCAATGGCTTACAACAATCCGCCTTTGGTGTTTGCTGTCTGCAAGCACAATCTAAAGTTGTATGTACTTTCACAAGTTAATGACTTAGAAAAATAGTTGGTTCCCTACTGACTATCAAATAAAGTCCAAATTGCTTATCTTTACAGTGGAGACCCTCTACAACCTTGGACCACCTTACCCTTCTAGTCTTACTCAATTCTCTTCCAATTATGCCATGGTTTAGCCAAAGGACAACTCTTGGTCTTCATACCTACCTTGTGCTCACTTCTGTTTGTGCCTTTGCTCAGGCTATTCCCCACACCTGGAATGCTGTCCTTCCTCTCTTCCTGCTGAAATTCCTACCTATCCTTGAAGCCCAACTGAAATGTCAACTTCTCCAAGAAGTCTTCTGTGATAACACCAATTGTTCTTGACCTTTCTCCCTAGGACTTCATACAGCACTCTGTTCTTACCCTTCTTATGCCCTTAGTATATATATATTAGTTATTTGTAGAAAAAATATCGATGATCATCTTCACTTAAGTCCTTATTATGGCATGAAGGCAATCTAGGATTCTCAAAAGCTATACCAAACTCTGGTGGGCCCTACCAAGCTAAAAAGGTTTTGAATACAGAAGATGAACTTTGTCATCCAAAGACCTACCAGCTAAGTTTGAAGATACTCATCCACAGGTTGGCCACAGGGTAGTTTTTTTTTTGCTCTGGCAACTCTGGAAGAGTAGACTACCTACCAAATCACTGAGGGGTTATGAGCCGAATTGGTGAAAAGATTATCTCTACTGACAAAATTCACAGATCTTGCCTTATTCCTTCACTAACCTCCAAGTTCTACAAGGGTAAATATTGTCTTAACTAAATTTTGTACCACTTAAAAAGTGCTTAATATTTGAATCTGACTCTGAATATTTAAAAAGTCATATTCTGACACATTTGAATATGTTCAAAGTATTATTTTAAAGTGTGAGGAAATTAATTGTATTCATATCATTCATCCTCATTTAATAAACTCTTTCCCTTGCTTGTAGAGGCAAAATCCTCTACAAGCTAACACTATCCTGCCTTTCCTGCATTCTCATACTTGCAAGGAAAGAAGAAAGGAATAAGCATTTATTAAGCACCTAATGTGTGCCAGGCTAAGTGCTTTACAAATATTACCTCATTTGATTCTCACAACAATCCTAGGAAGTAGGTGCTATTATTACCCCTATTTTACAGAAGAGGAATCTGAAGCAGACTGAGGTTAAGTGATCGGGCCAGAATCTCCCAGCTAGAAGTGTCTGAGGCTGGATTTGAATACAGGTCTTCTTGACTCCATGGGCCCAGGTTTCTATCCACTGCCTAAGTCTGTTACAGGGGTCTTGTTTTTCTGTGTGTGTGGGGAGGGGGGAAGAGGAAAGAAGGAATAAGCATAATTAAGCACCTACTCTGTGCCAGGAAGTGTGCTAAGTGCTTTACAAATGTTACTTCATTTGATCCTCACAACAACCCTGTGAGGTCGGTGCTATTATTACCCCTATTTTACAGATGAGGTATCTGAGGCAGACAGAGGTTAAGTGACTTGGCCAAGGTCAAACAGCTAGGTAGTATCTGCCGCTGCATTAAGAATACAGGTCTTCCTGACTCCATGGACCCAGGTTTCTATCCACTGCTCAAGTCTGCAACAGGGGTCTTTTTTTTTTTTCTTTCTCTTTCTCAATATGTGTAGGAGTCGGGGAGGTCAGGGGAGTGAGAGAAGGCAGACTTTCATTGACTAGAAAAAATTTTTAATAAATAAATTTGAAATAAACGAAATGAAAGGGTTGGCCTAGATGTCCTCTGAGGTCCATTCATCTACGAGGCAGAGCGCCATTCAGCGCCTTCACAATTTGGCTGCAAATACTATTGCTGACTTACCTCAAACTATCCCCCTGCAGTTCTCGAGTGGGATCTCGCCAAGCCTTTCTTCAGGTTATTCCTTGGTCACCGAACGGCCCTTCCCCTACCTGCCACCTCCGACTAAGTAAGTCCTCTTTCTTCCAGGCCCGGCTCCCCAGCCTCTTCCCCGCCCCCGGCTGGAACTCATCTCTGCGCTTTCTCGTAGCATTTTGCTTCGGCCTTCTCCTTCCTTTCCACTTGTCTCTTTCTCTCTCCGGCATCACCGTTATGCGTGGGCTTCATCCCTCTTCAGGAGAAGGGAAGGTCCTCGAAGGCAGGGCCTGGCTGGCGCGTCTCGGTACCATCGACAGGGATACTAGGGGTGGGGGAACCTTGCAAGAAGCGGGCGCTTTTAAAAAGTGTCTGATGCATTCAACGGGGTCTAACTAACGACTCCCGGTCCTTCGATGTAATTCCCTTTTCTTCGATATCCAAATAATCAGAAGACCGGGCTGCCGCAGAGAAAGTAAGGACGACTAACTGCTTTACAAACTCCATGGAGACGAGGGGAGGAGAAAGCGGAAGCTCCGCCCCAGATCCCGCCTACTGGATGCTCCGCCCTTTCGGGCGCTGTGCCACAGTCAGCTCTCAAGAAGCCAGAGGTGGCACGCGGCATTCTGGGATCTGTAGTTTACTTTCTGCTAGTTTATTTGCTCGCCTTTCCACGTCGCGTCCTTCAGGGACTCCTACTTCCTGTCGGTCGCTTGTCCTGAGGTGCGACCACCCTACCCAGAAACCCCTTCTTCACGTCGCTCCGGTGATCGTGCAGGTTAGAGACTCAGGACTGCAATTTCCAGAAGTCCCCGGAAAGAGCGCGTTCCTTTGCTCATCTCTAGGACCACAATTCCCAGAGATATCAGTTACCCCGTTATACTCTTTTCGTCGCTTCCGTCTTGGGCGGGCTGAGCTGAGACCAGCTGGCGAGTCCAGCGGAAACAGTATACCAGGTGTAACTAAGCGCGGAGCTTCTTCAGCCGCCCGACCTTCTTTCTCTTCTCAGACATCACCCCTTTTGCCCCGGCGCGCTGCCCTCGGTGTCTTAGGTTAAAGCTGAGAGAGGGCGGGCCGCGCCTGCGCACTGCCCAGTTTCCTGCCTGGCTGGTGGCGGCGGCCATTTTGTCCCTCCTTCTCCTCCTCCTCCTCCTCCTCCTCCTCCTCCTCCTCTTCCTCCTCCTCCTCCTGCTTTGAGCGCAGCGTCCGGAGCGGGCTGGGGGCAGAGCGAGAGTCCGAGAACAGGGTTCGGCGCCTTCTCCTCTGTCCCCAGCCAGAGCCTGTCGCCCCCCTCCCCCCCTCCTCCCCCACCCCGCCCCTTTCCCTCCCCCGATCCTGCCCTCTCCCCCTCCCGGCCCCTCTCCCCCGCCCCCCTTCCCCTCCACCCCGGTCCCGGGATCTCTGTCTCACCCATCGCCATGGAGGACGACGGGCAGCCCCGGACCCTGTGAGTACCCGAGCAGGCAGGGATGCCCGATGTCGCGAGGCCCGGGCCCCGGGGGCCGGAGGGGCGGAGCGGGGGGGGCAGGCAGGGCCGGGGCTGGGGCGGCGGCCTCTAGCTGAGGCGGACACGTACACATTCTTCCTCCGCCGCCGCCGCCTCTTCTCTTCTCTCGGGCAGAAACCTCCTCCCCACTCCTGCCCCATCCCGGAGCCTACCGCCCCTTCCCCTTATCTGCATCCCTAGTCCCGGCATCCGAGAGGCTGAGGCTGTCAAGAGACTCGCCGCCCCTTGTTTTTTTTCCCGGTTCAGGGGCGGGGGCGGGGCGGAGGAGTAAAACTCAAAACTGGGGGGCCCAGGGGAGGGGGCTTGGTGATGGATGCAAGAATAGGGTGGGGGCGGGGAGGAAAAGGGGTGGGAGAGTCCCCGAACGGGGTGAAGGAGGCTAGCTAGCGGAGCATCTGTCTCATTACCTTCCATCCCCTGCTCCCCAAATTCAGAACCTTGTGTGTCAATCACTGCGCCTTCTCCCTCCACTCCTCTTGTTCCTGCCATACATACAGCCTCTCCCTCTGCTGATCTCTCTTGACTTCGAGTATTCACCTCATTTCTGTGCACTTGTCACCCAAGCATCCTTTCCTTTTTTTTTTTCTGCAATTCACTTGGAAAGCTGCCTCTTCCAAATGGATAGCCACTTGTTGAACTCTTCTTGCCCTTCTCACTGGTCACTTTTAATCTGTGTGTTACCCCATGCTTGTCGAGTTGGATGAAAAGGGTGTCTTTTCTGAGCTTTTAATATGATGCCTCTGGCATTTTCTTTTATTTTGCTTTTGCATTTGACTGCAAACCCAAGCAGCTGAATGACTCCCTTCCTTAAATGACTTAATTTTATTGTCTCCTTTCTGAAGTGGTGACTCAGCATTTGTATTCCTTTCCCTGTAGTTGTGCCACTTCTTTTCTTTCTCCTTTCTGCTACCCTTTGTATCAGTTTATTCTGAATATTTATAATGGGGAATATAGTTGTTATATTTTATTTTGTTGAGTATCTTTTATTTTCTTAGTCTTCTGCTTTGTACTTCCCGTCTTGAGCATTAGGAGTTAAATTCCTACTCTCTCATACTTAGGTCTGGTTTTCATGATTTGGAGATTACTTTGCTTGTCCTTGTTAATAGACTGAATAATCTTGTGGGAAAATTACTTTCTTTGGAGTAGGGGTAAGATGGTTACACGAAGTTGAACATTTGGCTTCTTATTGGTTTACCCTAACCAGAAAAGTAAGTGGCCCAGTAATATAATTTTAAAATTATTTCCCTTTTTACTATTTATTTTCTTTTGAACATTGTATTACTTAACCCTTACCGTTCCTGTTTCACCGTCTTTTCAGGAGAGGTGTTTTCCATCTTAGATTTTCAGAATGAGGGCCCACTTACCTTTTGGTGGAAACCTTGTATTAATATTTTGTGTTGTCTTTTCAATTTGGTCTTCTCTTTTCAGAAAGAGGAGAACTGGAGAAATTCTGAAATTTGTTATTTGCTAATGAAGCCAAGTTCTAGTTAGTGATGTGTACTTTGACTTCAGGTATTTGAAAGAACTGGGTTTTAACTCTCAGCTAGGATTTCTTTAACTTCGGTAGAAGTTACATTGTGTCTAAAATCTGAAATGTTAGTTACATCATAACAGGTGCTGGAGAAATAGCAGTTTCTTAATTGATACACTTGCCAAATTACTATTTAGATGAAAAATTGTTTTCTTTTAGAAACAGAGCACTGTTACTGAGATTTTCATTCATCCCATATAGTACATTGACATCGAATTTTTATTTCCACAAGTCTCCTCAGGCTTTATCCAACAGACCTAATATGCTAACTTCTTTTATGTCACCTATTTCTACCCTTACCTTCTATACCTTCTCATCTCATGCTCTGACACTCACGTAAACATGGATTATCTGTTTACAGGTATGTACAAATATGTTATGTATATATACATGAGTAAATCTTGTAAACTCTACCATACCCTGTTCGTCAATTCATGTTTGACTGCCTTATCTCCCTTTTTCTTTCTTTGACTCTGCTGGAGTAAACTCTCTTCAGACTTCATCCATCCTCCCTCCTGTGTATTACACCTTGTATACTGTCTTTTATGTAATATCTACTCAGTGTTTTATGTTGATTGTATTCCTTTCATCAAATAAACATAGCTAGCAAAAAATCCTAGTTCTCATTATAGACAGAAATAGTTACCCTATTTCATACAGGATGCATTCCATTTTTCTACTTAATATCATAGAAATCACTAATAAAATTTAAGATAAAGTAAGTTCAGATTTGTGATGTATCAGAAAAAAAAAAAGAATGAGTTTGAATTCTTTTTTCTTGAAGTATACCTTTTGGGTTTTTCCTTAAAAAGATATCTGCAGGCACAAGTTTGAAGATGTTAAAGGATTAATGTTAGGTATTGTGTCTGGCTATTTGCCTTAATTATTTTGATCATGTGATCTGTGGAATACGTTTTCAAGCAGTTAGTATGCTTTTAATCATGTACTCTAACCAAGACTTCTCTGTTACCCTGACATGCCTGTGTGTTACTAGTGAGGTTTTTTCCCTACAGACACACACAAGCTAAGACATATGGTTCTATCTTCAGAAAACAATGTGGTGTTAGCTAATAGGTAGGTTTTTAAATATTAATTACCTACAGTATTATTTATTTAATTTGTAGTGCTTAAAGTGGTATAGGATTGCTTTTTTGAGAATAGTGTTATATTTGCCATACTCTACTTGAAATGCCTATTTTTTTGATATTTGTTGTTTTCATCTGACATTAATTTTTGTTTAATGGACAGTAAGTAACTTTCCATATAGAATACAAAGAAACTGCTTTGTAGCTGGTATGGAAACATGATAGACATCTGCCTTGTAAGACTACATCATCCAGGCTAATACTGAATGTAGCTTTTTTCTGGGAAGAGGGGAATATGTTTTGATGTATTGTATGCCTGCTGAATCTATGTGGAATAAGTTTCTTTATTATAATAGGGGAGGTCCTCCTATATTAGCTTATTTTGCTATTTGCCTAAGGTGCCAGATTCTAAAGGAATTATGAATTTAGAAAAATATATCATTAATTGAATCAGAGTGACAATGAAAAGTAGGTTTTAATTTGACTCTGCCACATAACTGGTAATCAATTAAAAGTCTGAAAACAATTCATTATTATTAATAGGAAAAACTGTATTAGGACTCCATTATAGAACCTCATGATGTCAAAGATTTGGTTATATTGTCAAACAATTCCTCCATTATATGTATTGTGTATCCTAGTCACTATATCAAAACCCATAACATAGTATATCTGCCTTGCTGACTGCAGCACTCCCTTCCCCCCAAATAAAATAGTTGTGTCTGGCTTATGGAAGCAACTTTGGATAAGTGACATGTCAGTGATCTACTTAAAAGTATACTCTTTATGACCTTCGGGGATTTGGTAAGAACAAAGTAGGTTTGTTTTTCTTTTGTCGTTCAGTCCTTTGTCTTTCCATCCCCTCTGCATCCAGCCACTAACAACACTGACAACCCTATTCCCATAAAATAATGCTTTAAAATAGGTACCATCAATCTTACAGGCATAATACATTGGAGGTAGTTTAGTAATGTGGACTCTTACTGTTAGACAACGTTGCTTCAGCTTTCGAACTGGATTTTAACACTGTTAGAGATGAAAAATATCTTTTTCAGTTTAATACTTTCAATTTCTACAGTTCCTGCCCTTAGAAGACAAAATAGTGCTCTAAGGTATGCCCTTCCTTTTTTCTTGCAGTCATACCCTTTTACTAACTTTGTTTTAGAATTCCTGAAAAGTTTTCAGCTGTACATCGATTTCCATTCAAATGCAATGATTTGCAGTGTAGGATCTTTCTAGTATTTCAGATTCTTCAGATAACTAAATTTTTTTTTTCAGTGAATATTTCACATGACCAGCATAAGGGGGCTGGAAAAACACACTGACAGCTATATTTTGTGGAATAGAAGAAAAGAGTAGCTTACCTTTCCTATTATACAATATATTTTTTAAGTACAAGTGATCTGGAGAGCTGGCTATTAAAAATGTCTTGGACTGGTTCTGTAGTATTTTCTAGGAAAAATTTAATATATGATGATATAAAACTAAATAGTACAGTATAGGTTTTTTTTTTAAATAGTAACACCAGGAAAATACATAAAACACCATTTAATATGTGACTTATGCAACTCTTTAAAGGTTGTGCTATTATAAGTAAAAGAGCAGATTTTGGCAAAAATTTGGGAGACTATATTAGGACCCTCTTAACATTAAGATGTTAATATTACAGGAGTGATCTTAGTGGTGACTTTTTTTTTTAAACTAAAAGTTCACTACTAACATGTGCAGTGTAAGGACTAGGCTATTAATTTTCTCCATAAAAGGAGGTATTTTGTGGGGGGGGAAGTAAAGCTGAGAAATCTGATACAGAAACTTTTATCAGTTGTCTACATTATGAATTATATTCTATTCTGAGATAACAAGAACTGATTGAAAATTACTATTTAGTGCTATCTATCTCATTGCTAGAAATGGTCACAGTTGTCTAATTGTTCATTTAGGGAATTCTTTAAAACCTGTTAATACATATACACACACATACATATAACTTTATACATATTGAGACATAAAGTGTACATCTTGGAATTAAGTTGTCTGAAAAAGGAATAGCTCTAGATTAACTTTATTTTATGATTATAGCCTCATGAAACCAGTTAATTACCATATATTTTCCCTAAATATTTCTTAACTTAGAAAAGATTTTACATAGTTTTTCAGAATTTTAATACTTTAACATGGTTTTTTAATACATACGCTTCTATGTTGATTATTAAATTGTCTCAAATGAAAATAATAGAACTTATTTAATTTTAGTCATTATAAGGATGTAGTCTCATATTTTTAACTAAAAAATTCAACTAGTTCATTTGGTTAAATAAAGCATAGTTTTCCACAAGGTTCAATTGCAGGATAGCCCAGGTAACTTTGTACAGAAGAAAGCTATGGCCGCTAACTGCATCACTCACAGATAATCACTGGTAGTTCCAAGCAAATGAATATGAATGATTCATAAGTCCGTTACTACTGCTGGAAAAAAAGCAATGCAATATGTGGTCTTCCATTGGATCAGTGATATGTGTGAAGGCTAGTGCATGGGACACCACCAAAATTTGTTGCTGATTTTATGTTTGAGGAATCAGTTTTGGAAGAAACTTTGGATGAAATTATTTACTATTAGAAACAATATGTCATTTAAGTATTACTGGATTTTTTTTGTTGCCTTTTCTGAACATGTCTATCAATAGTTTCTATTGTAAATGTTTTAATACAACTAAAATTGTTATTTATTATCTCTATCAGGTATTTAAAATTTTACCTTATCTTGTCCTGTGTCATTTTCTCTTTTGGATTTCTACATTTCAAAGAAATTTAGATGGTTTAAAACTACTTAATTATTATGCATATAGGACTTGTTTTGTCCAGAAACTTGTCTCGTTTTCCAGATATTGTATAGTATAATGATAATCAAAATAATATAGCTCCTTCCAGAAAGCTAAATAAAGCATATTAATATTTTATCTATATTGTTTTATTTATATGATTGAAAGATACTGTTTACACTTAAGTTCTTTGTTTTTTATGGGAGAGTGGCCATCTTTACACACAGTAAGTGAATTCTAGAAGGTTTATAAATTCTGGAGATAAAGCAGTTTTAAAAATCCATAACAGAGGGAATATTAGGTTTACCTCTTTGTTCCTCCGAATCTCCTAGGATCTTCCCTCTCCCCTAATTACTTCTCCCTCCCCTGCATCTCCAGGAAAGTTATATATTTGATTTTAAGAACGTTAACATTCAAATTTACTCTCTTCAAAATTATACTTTTATAAGGATTCTAATGCAAAGTATAGCTTGGTAAATAAGGTGAAGTGACATAAAGATGTATAGTATAGTAACTTTTTTTTAACTTATTTTACCTCATTTTAAGCCAGTTAAGTACAAAATTAAACTAATAAAAAACGTAAAATTTCTTTTCCAAATGCACTGTTTATTTTCCTATCCCGGTAAGTCTCCAGTGACATTGACCATATTTAAAAAAAGATGTGTGAATATATGTGTATATGTCTATGTATGTATTTACATACTTATATTAAAATTCTCCCAAAATGCTGTTTAGGAATTAAAATAGACACACTTTATAACTTGTTCTCTTTTTGGCCTATTAATGTTAATAGGTTAATAGATGTTAATAATCTTAATTGTTGGAGGTTGGTATTTATGATACAAGTGACTCTTTTGAGTTATTTGAGACTATTTTGGGGCTATTATCTGTAATACAGATCTTAGTTTGAATGGTTTGCCTTTTTTCCCCTCAAATATTCTATGGAAATAAAAAGCCTGTTTTGCAGATGGAAAAGGATTGAAATAATTATGGTTATATTAACTATAAGGCCACAACTTAAAGTTGCTCTTAAAGGTCCCAAAATCTACCTCATTGTCAGAAAATATTGTGGTGCTTATAAAAAAGTAAATGCTTGCATTTTATTTGTAGGATAAGGCCCAGCATTAAGAAACTGAGAAATTTTTTCAAGATAATGGAATATCTTAAATTACCTAAAAATTTGTCAGTGACAAGTAAGAAGATAATATTTGTGAAAATGTTATTTTTCCCCCTGTTGTGTAGCTATGTAGGTAATCTCTCCAGGGATGTGACAGAAGTCCTTATCCTTCAGTTATTCAGTCAAATTGGACCATGTAAAAGCTGTAAAATGATAACAGAGGTAAGATCTTCCCAGTAAAATGTGACATCAACTACCATAGCATTTTAATTTTAAAAATGCAGTGATGCATGTGTTGATGGATAAGGATTTTTGCTCTAAACTCTTGAAATAAGGGCTCTGTCAGAGGGAGATTGAAGTTTGGACAGGTTGGTTCTATTACTTAGATGCTTTTGTCAAACTGTTCAAAGAGGTTTGTGTTCAGAGAGGTTTCATTTAAAATCACCTTTCATGCTGTGTAGTTGTCTTCAGAAAATGCTGAATATAAAAAGGTGTTCTTGATGTCGCATCTACTCATGTTGAAAACTTGAGTGAAGTTTTTTGAAAGTAAAAATGTTACTAATTAAGTGAAAATATGAAGCTAAGAAGTCCTAGTGTATGTAATCATGTGAAATTATATATACTTAGTACTATGCAGTATATCTTATGGATGTTTAGTTAAACACAAATTAATAATGACCAACTTGGTATACAGCTACATTTTTAAAGTCAAAGTCTATTATATTTAAAAGAAATTTCCAGGACTATATCTGGAACAGAGTCTGTAGATAGTATTTCCTTCATTTTTTCTTTGTCTTTTTTGTTAATATTCTTTTAAAATTAATCTATATTCTCTTCTATATTCATTTGGATTTATGTAGGTTAAGTTGTATGATCCTAAACTTCCTTTTGTCTTCCAAATTTGGAATTCCCATCATCTAACAATAATTGATGACATCACTAATAAGTGTAAAGGAAACAATTTACTATTGTTGTTTCAAGTGTTACTTAGTGATGCCCTTTAAAGTTGTGGAGCTGTAGAAGTGGAAGAATCTGAAGGTCTTTGAACAACTAGTAATTTATTTCACTCGAAGTAATTTTATTTTAAAGCTTGAAGAATCTTACTTTTCTGTTGAACTTTTAAGTTATTTTTGAGTAGATTATGTATATCACAAAATAGACTTTAACCATTTTTCCTTATGTCCTTAGGCATAATATATCAAATGTTTTTACAACTTAGCATAGTACAGTAAATTTATTTAAAATGTCAATTCCTAGAGTGCATGTGTTACAGCACTTGGCACACTGTAAGCACTAAATAAACATGAAATTAGCCAGCTATTTGCAAGTAGGCTAATGCTTTTAGTTTTCAAAAGCCTACAGCAATTTTTTTCTTTTCAGCTAACAAGTGATGAAGAATGTTCTTCTTTTTCTGAAACTTTTTGGAAATGGACTACTATGTATTTTTCTGCAGTTAACTATCTGTGCTAGATAACTCTGGAACTACTTAGTAATAGAAATGAAAGAGTAAATATACTAGGAAATTTTGGAAAGAGAACTGCTGTATATCCTTAGAGTTTTAGCTCCTTATTTCTGTTGTTAGCCTTCTCTTTTTTAAATGTTATTAATATTTGTTAAATAGCTGGCTTAACTTTAAGACTCGAATTCTTTTCTGTCAGTTTCCACAAGAATGTTGACACTATTCCAACAATAGGATTTTGTGTGACAGCCCAGCGTTTTTTGCCAGAGCTAATGATCACACTTTGGTGTTTCTGATTAAATGTAGTCTGATTGTTTTGTCACTGTTGTTTTAAGAGTCCCATTTTTGGATCACTTTACTGAAATTTTTCCAAGCACAAGAAAACATTTGTGGTTAAAAGATTCTTATTTTGCTAGTATTTTAGGCTCCTTCAGTCCATCTTGAAATATATATACACTAATTCTCTCAATAGCATTGATAACGATCAGGGGAGGTTTTGAAACATATATTTATTGTATGTACTTTTACAATTATGAATTAACCTAGAATCCAATTTTGCAAAATTGTTTTTGTAACAATTTTTTTATTCACAATGTGTAATTGTAGACATGTCTTTAAACATGGTTTATTTGCATTTTCAGAAAACACTTGAAAATTTGATCACTGAGATCAAATTCATAGTTAATAGATAGTCCTCAACTTCTTTTGGAGAGGATCTCTGAAACACTAGATTTGTGAAATTCTAGAAAAGCTCAGTCTTACAGAATTTGTTTCAGTAGGTACTAGAAATCTCTGACTTTGTTTCTTTTTCTTAATAATTTTCTCTTATAAAAAAGAAAAATTATGTAATCCAGTCTACCAGTACCATAGAAAATCTCCTATAGTACTGATGAAAGTCAGAAAGGAAAAAACTTGCTTTGTGATTTTATTATCCTGTATTTTTTTGGTATTCATGAAACTCTAGAAGATGCAAGAGTGTAATGCATTAATACAACTCATCAATTTCAGATATACATAGGGGAGAGAAATACTAGTAATTAGTGATCCTCACCCTTCTATTCTAAATTTCAGATTCTTTTTGGTCTAACTTTTGGAGTTGGAAGAGCTCTTAGAGATCATCTAGTCCAACCCCTTCATTTTACAGATGAGGAAACTGAGAAGTAGGGAAGTGAAATGTCTTGCCCAAAGACACCCAAGAAGTTAGTGGTGGAGCTGGGACTAGAACTAGAGTCTCTCTGACTTCACCCTCTTCCACTATTCAGCACTGCCTTACTGCATCTAATGATGTATGTAGTATCATTTCAAACTTGGTGTACTTAATTTTATGTTTTGAACATTATTGGCAAAATAGAAGATCTTTAAAATAGTTCATTTGTAGAAATTGGGTTTTACATATTTCTCATTAATTACTTTATGGTTGATTACCTGTTAATCATTGGTCCAATATTTTTAACTAGCACCAGTGATAAATGTTGAATAACTTTGGTATGTACTAATAATTTTAATAAAGAACACTTATGTTATTAGCACCAAAATTATCAGAAATAATTTTTGGTATAAAGTTAAATTATTAGAAAGTTACAAAATGATTAGACCACATTCTGATAATTTGAATTTAATATAGGCATGCTGTTATAGTCCTTTTTATAATTCTGTATGAATACCATACTGTTTTCCTTATTATTCTGCTTAAGTTATAAGGTTTATCTTTTAAAATGTTAGGCTTCATTATCTATTTGCAATCTCACTTAAAATTCCTAGCTATCAGTAATGTTTTTTCCTGGATTTTCTTCTCAGCAACCCGATAGCAGAAGGGTCAACTCTTCTGTTGGATTTTCTGTTTTGCAGCATACAAGCAATGACCCATATTGCTTTGTGGAATTTTATGAACACAGAGATGCAGCTGCTGCATTAGCGGCTATGAATGGGAGAAAAATTTTGGGAAAGGTAAGCTTGAAAAACATTTTGTACGTTTTAAAAAGTAACTCCACACACAAATCTTTGCATGATAATTACTTTTGGTTTGTGTTCATTTTTGGTGACTTTTCAAACACAGAGAGCTCCTAAGTCATAATGTGCTTTTCCTTTATTCGATCTGATACTTCACAAAAATATCCTTCCAAATTAAAAGTAAGTTAGTGACCACAGTGAAATGACTAATTGTATTAAATGCAATCTTTATTTTTAGGAGGTCAAAGTAAACTGGGCAACAACACCAAGTAGCCAGAAAAAAGATACCTCTAGTAAGTATATTGCAGCTCTTACTGTACACCTCAGGGATCGATATGGTAGCATTTTTATGAATTCCAGTTAAATCATGTTTTCTCCAATCCTGAGGTCTACTAATTAAGTTCCTGAGTGTTTTTATCATAAAATGCTTCGATTCCAGATCACTTCCATGTATTTGTTGGAGATTTGAGTCCAGAAATAACAACAGAAGATATCAAATCAGCATTTGCTCCTTTTGGTAAAATATCGTAAGTATTGTTATCAATACCTCACTCAGTAGTGCCAGGAAAGTTGTTTAAGATTGACTTATTTCAGAATTAAGGTGTTTTTCCCCCCTAGTTAGCATTGTTTTGTATTATATTTTTTAAACTGCAAATATGATATTTTAGTGTTCTTGAGTCTTGTTTTCAACTAATTCTGTGCATAATATATGTTTTTAAATGAAATTGTTCTGTATGTCAACTTTAGAGAAATATGTTTGCTAGATAATAAGTAAATGCTAACCTAAGGTCCAAGTTTTTGTAAATGTTTTGAAGATGCATTAAAGATAAACAAAAGGAACTGTGAATTTAGGCTGTGTATAAATGCTTTGGGGGTGGGAGAGGGGAATAATAAGGTAAAATCTTAGAATGTTTTATATTATGAATTTAGTATAGTGAACTTGGAGAAATTATTCTTGCTTAAATGTAAAATATATTGTTTTTATGATTTAGTAATAATTTTGTTAGTATTAAAATATCTGAGTCAAAGGTATTGTGATATATGAATTAGATATTCTTGTTGGTGGTGCATGATTATGCCAGAAATGGGAAAATGCCATTTGATCTTTCTCTCATACATGTTGTAGAGCAAAGTTCACAATATATTCTGTGATCAAATGTATTAGAAAATTAAGTGCTAAAAGTGTAACTTGTCTTGCTGTTTAAAAGCAGGATATTTTGTAGATTTATTTTCTACAGATTTAAATTAATGAGCATTTAATACTGCTTTACAGGAATATAATTCAGCTAAGAACAACAATGTTCATTTCTTTACAGTTTTTGTTGTTCTGTATATTTAATTTTAATGGACCAGTATATTTAATTGTTAATCTTCTATTTTTGGTGTTTGCTTTGCTTTTAAATCTCTTAAGTGTGGTAAGTAAAACTATTTTAAAAATCAGTATAAAAAGAATAATACAGGTTGCTGTTTCTCAATCTTTATTTATACCTGAGACCTGCAGTTTTTCTAAAGTCCAAGTCACAATTAAAAGTAATAGCATTCTGGTTATTTTGCAGAATTGCTCATAAGAATGGACAGGATCTTGAAGGCTAACTGCAAGGAACTGTGCACACTGGAACTCAGTTGTAGATTTTTTTTCTCATTTTCTATTTATTCTTATTATACATTATTTATATATACATATTTTAGTATTTACATTTTAACATTCTATATTCAGTGCAGTTCTATATTTCCAATCATTTTAACTTACTCACTAAAAATTTCTGTGTAAATTTGTTGTTTTCGTACTGGTGTGCTTAGCATTGTTGTTAGTTTTTTATTCTCCTTTCTTAAATTTCTGAAAATGTCAATTTTTCAAAATTTACAGCTGCCCAAACTCCAAAATGATGGTAGAGAATTGACCAAGAAAAATAAAGAAATCTGTTAACAGGCCATGTATGCCTTTTTAATTCCTATTTTTTTCCTCTTTTTCAATTTTTTAATATTTCATATATTTTGTATCACTAGGCAGAAGACATTTAACTATTTAGAGATTGCATGGTAAAGTAGTTAGCATTGTTAAAGTAATTTATAGAACAGTAAACCTTAGAAGATCATAGTCAATAGAATATTAGAAAAGGAAACTATTGTTCCCTTTAATCTTCAAATTTGAGCATTTAGTTTTAGAAAGAACAGGCTGTATTTGATAGGTTGCATGTTTATTACATGTTTTTGTCCTACTGCTTTTTTCTAACAGGTAAAGAAGCAATAGGGAGAGTTCAGGAATGGCTATAGTTAATTAGGGTTAACTTGAAATTTACATAAAAATATGCTCACAATACCGTGTGTGTGGTTCCTTTTAGTTTTTATTTTCAAGGTCATTATTATTTCCCTCATTTAGCTGTGCTTCTTTTCACAGGGATGCTCGGGTAGTTAAAGATATGGCAACTGGAAAATCAAAAGGCTATGGTTTTGTATCGTTTTATAACAAACTGGTAAGTAACTTCTAACTCCAAATTTTGTTTCTGGTAAAAATTTTAGTCACTGACTACAATGTATCTGAAACCTAAATATTCCAGGTATATAATCTACTAGCTTTAATATTTATTGTGTGTGGTAGTTTGTTTTTTTTTTATTTTTAACATACTATCCTCATTCTTTGTCCATGAACTTGAAATAGTAACATGGTATTGGTTGGTAAACATAAGGAAGTTTTTTTACAATGTTAGTATAGGTAAAGTGGGTACTTTGTATGATAGTTTTAGTAAAGAAATTTGGCTATAGTAACAACCATCGAAATAATAACCACACTTGAGTGATACTAATAAAGTCCTGACATTAGGATAATAAAAAATTTTAGCCTTTTCATATTTTCTTGGATAGTGTTGCTTTCTCTGTTTTGTAAATAACACTAAGTTATTCTCTCTACTTTCAATCTGTTATCTCTTTTTGTAACTGGGATTTTAAGGCTATATAAGAATATTTGCATGAAAATTAAAATAGACTGTGTGTTATCTTTTTATTAAAAAAAAATCTAATAGCCTAATGTCTAAACATTTGTGTTGACCATAAAATATAAACTGAGACACTTAAACCAAAAACTGGCATCAGTTTGTTTGTTTTTTTAAATTGTTAAGCTTTTGCTTTAGGAACTTAGAATCTTTGCATTTCATTAAAGCACTGAAATTTTGAGTATGTAAACCCAGTGACTAATGACAGACTTTTTTTAAGCACTTCAATTATGCTGCATAAGTCATAAGTGCTTAAATGTCATAAAACATTGACTGTTGTAATGTAGTTCTCTGTTAAGATGGGTTTCATCTCTAAATCTCCTGAAATCAAAGTTACATTAAAAACCTGTTTTCAAATATGCCGTTTTATTCACAGAAACATCTGACTTTACGTGTATGATAGGAGAAAGGTTGTTATTCTAATGACACTTTAAAAATTTCTTGGATCAGGGTTTGTTTTTTTTTGTTGTTTTTACTTTAAGAATAAACTATTCCTTGATTACCAGCTCAGTGTTTTGAAATTGGTAAGTAAAAAATTTTTTGAATCACTTGAGTTGAAATTAACCTTGATGTTAATCCATTTACCAGACTGTTGCTATGACTTATTTAGGATACTCTGTGAGCTAAAGCTTATTGATGTGAGTTTTTGAATTTTGGCAACTCCAAAATTCCTGTTCCTTGTAATAGACCATATTTACTGATAATTATTTTTTTTAGTAATTATTTTAAATTTCTCAGCCTTTTGTTATTATTTTTTTCTTTCTGGTTTTATAGGATGCAGAAAATGCAATTGTACACATGGGAGGTCAGTGGCTAGGAGGTCGTCAAATCCGGACCAATTGGGCAACACGTAAACCACCAGCTCCTAAAAGTACACAAGAAAGTAAGACAATTACTGTTGTTAACATTATAGGAATCACAGTATATAGTATGAAGAATTTAACTGAGGTCTAATTTATGGATCCATTATAGAATCATGTCTTTAACATGGACAGTTTAATTGGGGTCTGATTTATGGCTTCAGCACAGAATCATGTCTTAGTATGTTCAGTAATACCAACCGACTATAATAATTTTATCCTTAGAATTCTAGGTTTCATGCTAAATTTACTATTTCATGAGAACAATGGAGTTTGTTTTGAACATGTATTCTTTGAAGTAATATAAAATTAATTACATTAGAATTAATAGATGAGGCAATATAATTATATAGAGAGGGAAGACTCATACCTTCCTCTCGTCTATTTTTGTAGAATTATTGTGCTCATTTTTGCATGCTTATATAACAGTTCAAAATAATACTGTGTCTAAGCAATTTATACTTCTCAAAAGCTATATTTGTAGGACTGTATAACTAATAAAACCCAAATTTCCCATCTTCTTTCTGGAAAAAGATAGCACAAAACAGTTGAGATTTGAAGATGTGGTAAATCAGTCAAGTCCAAAAAATTGTACTGTGTACTGTGGAGGAATTGCTTCTGGGTTAACAGGTAGGATGTTTCCTTATCTTGTTCTAGTGGGTATTTCTGTACCATTGACATCATTTCGTGGTGTGACACCATTTCATGGTACAAATCTGCTTTAAATGTTATGGGGGTTTTTGTCTTTTTTGTTTGGTTTGGTTTGGTTCTTATAGATCAGCTCATGAGACAGACATTTTCACCGTTTGGACAAATTATGGAAATAAGAGTTTTTCCTGAAAAAGGTTATTCATTTGTCAGGTAAGGTTGCCGCGATATGGTCATTTTTGTTGCTTTAAAAAAATGTTGATTCATTCCTTTGAATTATTTTTGGTTGGCACCATAATATCAACATGCCATATGCTATTATTCTTTTGCAATGCAAATCTTTTTATAGGCCCATAGGGTTTACCTCTTAGAAGATAGGAGCCATATCTGTAAGCTGTCATTTTGCATGCATGCTTCATTGTTCAAAGTTTAAAAAAAACCACACACATCCAAAATGAAGTCTACAACAAACAAACAAAAAAACCCTTGCAACTGTGTACCTTAAAATAAAAGTTTTAACGTATTGATTTTTCATCTCTTAGATTTTCAACACATGAAAGTGCAGCCCATGCCATTGTTTCAGTAAATGGTACAACAATTGAAGGACACGTCGTTAAGTGTTATTGGGGTAAAGAATCTCCTGATATGACTAAAAACTTCCAACAGGTAATTAGATTCATGAATTTCACACTGTTTCATATATGAGTTAAAACATGTCCCAGAGGAAGTTTTATAACTTTTTGATGAAAAACCTAAAGCGTAGTAACACTTTTAAATGTCTTTAAATGCTATTAAAAAGAGAAGAAACTTGAAGTAGTGCTGGTGTTTTTTCATAGGTGTTCCTTTAAAAATTTATATAATAACAGTGCCCTGTACCGTGAGGGTCTTCATTCAGTATGTTCTATCTCTTGTCTTCTGTCTTCTCACAAAATCCTAAGTAAGGCTGATTTCTTACATGTCATCTAAGATGTTTATTTTTCCTAGGTTGACTATAGTCAGTGGGGCCAGTGGAGCCAGGTATATGGAAATCCACAACAATATGGACAATATATGGCAAATGGATGGCAAGTGCCATCCTATGGAATGTATGGGCAAGCATGGAATCAGCAAGGGTTTGGAGTTGAGTAAGTTATCTATTCATATTTTTATAATACTTTCCATGGAGTCTATTCTGACTTTTTTGAGTTGCTGGTTAGTTATGTAGTAGTAAAAGTGAAAACATTAAACCTTTTATAGCAATGTGCTTGATATGGGGATTTTTTTTATCCTTTTTGCCTAACACAGTGTTTCCTGTAATCCATAAGTGGTAAATGATTTGGCAGATTTCCTTTTTCCTAGTTATACTTATTACGTTTTAAAATAGTGCCAAATATAAGCCATTCATAAGAAGTTGAAAATCCTCATATTTATTTTATACCATTATTCACTGTTTAGTCAGGACTGTAGGAAAGGGTTAAAGTAAATGTCACCAATGTCTTTACCTTGTGGTGATCTTATACTCCATCTGCTTTTGAATTCTTTTTTTTTTGTTTGTTTTTTGTTTTTTGCTAGGCAATGGGGTTAAGTGACTTGCCCAGGGTCACACAGCTAGTAAGTGTCAAATGTCTAAGGCCAAATTTAAACTCAACTCCTCCTGACTCCAGGGCCAGTGCTCTTATCCACTGCACCACCTAGCCGCCCCTTGCTTCTGAATTCTTAAGGAATATAGTTTAGTCATGTAAGATAGAACCTTTTGGAGGTTCAGTTAGCTTTGAGTCTTATATTAATAGTGTTTTTTTTTTCCAATTACATGTAAAGATAGTTTTCAGTATTCATTTTTGTAAAACTTTTTGAGTTTCAAATTTTTCTTCCTCCCTCCCTCCCTTCCCTTCTCTCCTCCTCAAGACAGCAAACAATCTGATATAGGGTATACATGTACAATCATGTTAAACATATTTCAACATTAGTCATGTTGTAAATGAAGAATGAGAACAAAAGAGAAAAACTACAAGAAAGAAAAAACAAAAAAAAGTGAAAATAATATGCTTCGATCTTCATTCAGACTCTGTAGTTCTTTCTCTGGATATGGATAGCTTTTTCCATCAAAAGTCTTTTGGAATTGTCTTGGATCATTGTATTGCTGAGAAGAGCTAAGTCTATCATAGCTCATCATTGCACAATGTTAACTTTGAGTCTTATTAGCCATGGTTAGAATAAATGTGTATTCTTGTAAGTTCAGGTGATTTCACTTGTGTGACATAATCTATAAGACATAAGGTAGCATGATGTCTTTATTTTATTGGATATTTTTGCATGTTAGTTTCTCAATTTGTGTAGTTCTGAAGTGAGATTTTACTTTGTATATGAAATAAATAGAAAAATTTATCTGATACCAAATAGAATATGTAGCATTTATTGTCGGGTTTTTTTGCTCCCATAAGTTAGTCCCTAATATTACTGTGGGCTTCTTTCAATATCACAGAATCTCAGAATTTGAAGGAACCTCAAAGGCAAGCTAGTCCCAAACTGTATTTGGATAGGAATACCTTCTCAACATCTCTCTTACCTCAAAGCCAATAAGTGGCTGTTTTGCATTTTTTTTTTTAAATCTTCAGGGCAGTGGAAGCCACCATCTCCTGAGGCCTTGAGGCAACCTGTTCCACCTTTGGGTACTGAGTTGCTAGGAAGTTTTTGAGTCTCAGACAACTCTAAGCCTTCCTTTTCCTATAGGCTTTACACTGTGTGTGCAGTACTTTGAGGTTGTATAGTACAAGATACCCAAAGCAGTAAAGGTACTATATGATTATATGTGACTTCTAGTGTATATGAAATTTCACCATTTTAAACCTTTTTTTTTTTTTAATAGATTATCAGGGCATGCAACCCAAAGATATTTTTTTCCTTTGGTTCTGTTGCCTTGTTTGATCTTTTTATTTTGTATGACTGTATACCTGTGTTGAGCAAGTATATTTTTTATTAGCATCTCTTTTAAAATTTTGCAATAAACGTGTGTTCTACAGAATTTTTTTTTACCAAAGAACTGTTAGATTCTGAATCTTCCCTATAAATAAATTCTAAATGAAACATTTCTTTCTTTAAAGCCAATCTCCATCTGCAGCCTGGATGGGTGGATTTGGTGCTCAGCCTGCCCAAGGACAAGCTGCTCCTGTAATACCTAACCAAGCTGGATATGGCATGGCGAGTTACCAAACACAGTGAGCTGGGACTCTTTAAACAAAAGGGTAATTCATGATAGGCTTCAGTTTCCAGTGACACTCTGTGAAGACAGGAACGTAGAGATCAGAAAATGGAAATATTTATTTTTAAAATGGAAATGTTTGGAACCTTTAGCACAGCTTTGCTTTGGTGAAGGACACACATGTCTTCTAGTTCTGCCTTTTTAAGTTTTTGTTCATGATGGATATGAACATGATTTTTCTTTGTGTACAAAAACAAAAATAAAGTCAATAAAGACGATTCTGACTACAAATTTTGATATAGTAGCAGCAGAGAAGTGGGTTATGAATTTTGCTTCTTATATTACTGTTCCATTTTTTTCTGTTCTGTCTTCACTGTTTTGTATCGCTGTTCCAAATGGAAAAATTGGGGATCTGGAAATATAGTGAATCACTTATAAGTTCTACATAAATCTTGAATCCTTTTTTCTTAATGGTGGACCAAATATTATTTCAGCCAAGACAATTGTCACTCAGAAGAAGTACATACCCTGGAAGTAACTTTAGAGCATTTAATTATTTTCTGAATGCCCAAAGAAACTGAAGTTTGATATAGAAACGTCGTAGTCTAAAAGAACAGTACTGTCTGATTTGCATGAACAAATATTTGTGGTCCACATTTAGGCATCTATCAGAAGTGTTTTTCTTATTAAAATTGAAGTATATTGCATATAATTTTGGACGCAAATTTTTAGCAAATATGTATATATGGAAGTCAGGCAGTCACACTTGGGCTTTTGCATAAAAATTGAAAACTACACATTGTAAATATTTAATAACTACAGTATTTTAAAAGCATGTTCAAACATAGAATTAGCAATCTGTTTGAAATAATACTTAATATATTCTACTGCTTAGAAGTAGTAGATTGACAAAAATGTGTAAGACTGATGTTTCCAAAATTGGTTATTATGTAAAGTTACATAAATTACTATTCGGAGAGAGCCTTAATCTTAATTTCATAAATTTTTAATACATTCATGCATTTAAATATATCATTAAATTTTTATTTTATTTTGCTTTCTATTATTTGGTATGTAAATACTTTGGTTCAGAGCCTTGTAAATGTATTTTAGGGTTACTATAAGTTGTATAGTGAGTGTTTCGAAAATTTTAGAGGAGTTTTTTGAAAATATTTTTGAAAATATTTTGCTGAAGAATTTTTTAAATAAGAGATTGTTGAAAACATCCTATTTTGGATTACTCAATATGCCATTTGGAAAACGGAGATACAATTGAAACAGTTTGCTGAGTTATGTTTCTTATTTTTAAAATTTATTTCTTAATGGGTAGTTTGCATGTGATAGACCTGTACGAAGGTGGGATTGTTTATGTACTGGGTATAAATGGATAAATCATGAAGATGTTTTAGATTGATGATTATTTCTGAATCATTTTCTAGACAAATTGACTAAAACTGCCTCAAATTTATAGCTAAACAGGAATGTATACTAGGCAGTTCTGTCTATATTGTATGTGACAGCTAGGGGGTGCAAATGTTTCACCTGTGTATTTGAATACAGTTGAGACAGAAGCCCCAAAACTAGAAAAAATGCTTACCAGTCAAGTAAGTTACAACTTGTACTGACAAATTGCTGTTTTTAAAAGTTAAAGTTTTAGAGTATATAAGATATAGTTTGATATAGGCAATTTTATAAGTTGCTATAATGTATTTTTTCCTTTTCCCTTTAGTTATACATTTAACTCAAACTAGTCTATTTCTCCTTATAAATTCATAGGACCTCAAGTTTTGTTCAAGTTGTGACTCTTGTGTCCAAACTGATAAATTGATCAAGTTTTTTCATTTCAATTAGAAATGGAGAAGTTAGAAAAGAGCTGTACTAGTCAGCAGCTATGCTTTTCTGTTATAAAACTTAATCAGTTAAGGTAAATATCCTGAGGGATAGTATTTTTTTTTAAATTGTTTTATATTTTAAATGAAGAATGTCCAAATGAGAAATGAGGATCATTTATTTTCTGTAGTTAGGAATTTAAAGAATTAACTGAATTTTAAGAATTGAACTTTTTATTATATGGATTTTTAAAAAATGCCTATTAAATCACCTAGTTTTAATCTTTCAGCTAGATAGTTTTTAATACTTTCTTCTTCTAAATAATTACTTCTGAGTTCAAGTATCCAAATAAATTTAAAGCAACAATTTAGATATTTAACCATGTTAGCTATTGTCATCAGTATGCATTGATAACAATATTCTAGGTTTTTTAAAAAAATCATTTAGCATACAACTTCATTACTATAAATGGACACATGAATGAAGTGTCCATGGCCTTAATCTAGGATGAAGAACAAGATTTCATGATCAGCTATAATGAAAATGATTTAAGCTGTTTTTATTTTATGAAGTTTTTCCAAGTGACATAACATTTTCCCCTTCTTCCCCATCCCCACAAACTAATACAGGCTTAAGTGTTTAGCTGATTTGTTTCTTAACACGATAGGAGTTTTTACTTTCTTCATCCTAATTCAAGCTAAGGATTGTTTCCTTTTTTTAGTGTTCATGAAAGCATCAATGAAGATTGCCTTTGGTACACAAAAAAGCCTCAGGTCAAACTTCTGTGGAGGTTTATTATAGTGATAGTTTTTACTCTGCCATTCTCTTTGCTCTGATAATTTATTTACCAGTACTAACTCCCTATATGCCACCATGACTTTATTTCTACAACCGTTGGCAGTTAGTGGCTGAATGACTAGCCTACGTATGCCAAAGCTGTAAACCACGGTTGAAAGAAGTCTTTAAATAAAGACTAGGCTGTATGACAAGTGACTTATTCTGTATTGTCATTTGTAATTCTTCCTTTTTCTACCCTCAAATCTAAATATTTCATTATTGTTTATATGTTAGGATATATAGGATTTATTTCTAGGTACATATGTTTCATAAAGCAAAACTGTAAGTGTCAGCAAACTAAAATTTAATCTCTGGGTGATAGAGGTTTTGTGTCCTCCCTTGAAATGACTTTTTCAGTTTAAAAAACAAACAGAATGAGATGTCATTATTTAGACTCCAAAAATTTAGAAGTTAAGATAATTGGACCGTGACTGGAACAAAATTTATCCTTTTAGTATTTGGAGACAAAAGGTGAGTTTGGCAACTGAGGAACAAAAATTTTTTCAGGAAATGTCTTCTCTACTTATAAAAAAATATGTTCATATACTTTAATAGTACTTGTTAATTAATGTTTACAAACAAATCTTAACAAATAATTCAGGCAGCCTCAGGGAGGACCTCTACTTGAAAATATAGTGTTAGATTTTTAAAAAATTTTTCAATGTACTAGAAAGTAACTAAAACTTTGAAGAATATACTGTAACTTTAAACTTTTTACCAATTGGGTCTGCCTTTCACTCTAATTAGTCTGAAGTAGTAAATTTGTTTAAGTATGAAGCATTCTGCTATATCACTATTGAAAATGTGTCATCTAATACATTGTGAATATTAAATAGGTTGCAGCAAATACTTTTAAAGTGCATTAGCATGTAAATAACAATTATTTCTACATAATTTCCTAAATGTTATTTAAGAAATTTTATAAGCCAGTATGATATTAAAATGCCTTAATATTACGAAGTAGGAGCATTTCCTACTCATAATATTGGTGAAAACTGTGAAGTGCAGACAGGATGCATCCCATTTAGTTCAAGAACTGCTATTTGGGTGTAAGTTGAGTCCATACAATGGTGGTATATTAACTCTCTTTTTTAAAAAAAATTGTATATCAGTGTGCTGAATTAAGAATTTTCTAAATGTTGCTCTAGATTAGATTTATGTGTATGGAACTGGTAGGGTAGAAAGAGGAATACTTGACTTAATCTGGCTTTAAAATGAAATGCTAACTAAAAGTTAAACTGACACTTTTGTAAAGTTGGAAATTAGACATGTTGGATGTAGAGAGAAAAGTGCATTGTGTTCACTCAACCTTTGTAGTCTGTATTTATACAAGAATGTGAAAGGGAAACCTAACAGAAGGTGTTTACTGAACAGTTTTTCTTCTTAGTATTCCAATAATTTTTCTGGACGTGTGCCAGGATTTGATACTAAGTAAAATGCATTCAGATGGTTGCACCTTTCACAATTTAACAGTCATTTTGCATGAGATTTTCTTTTGGGGAAATGTGCCTAACTGATCACCTTAAAGTCAGCTTGTTAAATTTACTAAACCTGAATAAAACTGAAGTGCTGGTGGACAGCTGTTAGAGGAAAGTAAAAGTCATTGTACATTTACAAAGAATCTGTCAAGACTAAGCTGACTATATATAGCTCTTGCAGCTGTGTTTAGGTTGCCTTGGACCTCATGCATGGGATTGTCTGCCTTATTCTTGTGCACAGGCAACAGTTTTGCTGAGATGTTATTTAGCATTCTACAGAATAGAATGTTTGTGTACAGTTCTTTATTTTTAGCAATCGATTCAATAGGTGTAGTAATACCTATCACTGGAAAATACAGTAGTGTTTTGTTTTTGAACTGTCTTCATGCCTTAGATTTATTTGACCCTTTGAAGAACACTTTGTATAAAAAGACAGAAGACCATGTTGTAGGCAATTACTAACTCTAACTAGACATATACTTCGATAGCAAATTATCCAAATTTTCAAGTTTGTGAAATGGCAAAATAATTTTAATGAATATTTGTGTTTTTTATTGTTTCATTGTTTGATTTTATTTTATGTTCTCTGTCAGTATAGAGAAACAGAAAGGTGTAAGGATAGAGAATTGATGTTAAAGTCTGGAAGGCTTAGGTTTAAATCTCACCTGTGACACATACTGACACAAATCACAACGTCATGTGATGTTCCAGGCATCTCTGAAGGAATAAAAGTTGAAGAGCAGTTGTTGATCTGTTCGTAGGTGACCTCTTCATCTGTAGGGAATCTTCCATTTAGACTTTATGCAAGGCAAACTCCATGATAGGTGAACAGCCTCCATAAGCATACATCTTGTTTTGTGCCTTACTTTAGTAATTGAAGGGTCATTGAACCATTCTCTGGGTTTGCAGTTATTGAGGAATCTTGTAAGTCTATAAGACTGTTTTGCTCTCCCAAGTCAAGTGCATTTTTTTAAGTAATCACTAAACAACAGGATCTAGTATTTTCTGTACCTTTTGGTCAAATGTATGACTTGATGTGGTCAGCATTAGAAATTTGTTTACAAAAGTCTGTTCCTTTCTTGTGTTTTTTTCTCTAGGCTACCCTCAGTTCAGATGTAGTTCTTAATTGTAAAGATGGTAATGTAGGTCTCT